TCTCCATCCTAGGGCAGAAGTACACAGCTAGTGAATGCTCATACCATCATTCTATGTACAGAATATATATGTGTATATATATATACATCACATATTTATAAAAACGTTTGGATTTTGATCTACCTCAGTATGGATTAATGGAAGAAACAGGCACATTTTGTGAGACGTTTGTCAAATATAAATGACTGCTATAATTAATAGATCCTGGGATTTGCTTTTGGTTGAGAAATTGCATCCTCCACTCCTTACTTTGTGGCATCTTCATTATAGGCAGAATTGGATTTGAGTTGTAAGTCAATGCCATTTCCGCCCCATAGAACTTGCATATAAGAAAATTGGAAATATAAGCATGAGTACAAAGACCTTGATACAAAAATTAAAAAAGAAACAAGAAACCTCACCAATTCAATGATGTCGGAGTTTAATACATTAGGTTGAATGTAGTAAATTGTAGTTTTATTTTTGTCACATTGTCCCTTAAAATTTGTCTTTAGTAATTCTGATTAAAATTGGACTTGGACTCTCAACAGTAGACTTATTTAAGAAGAACTAAACTGCCAAACTAAAGATAGACCTGCCCATTTCTGAAATAGAATCACAGAGTTTGGCACTTGGAGAAGTCTTATAAGGATCAACTCCAACCTTCCATAATGCAGAGTCCTCTTAGCAATACGTAGTCACAAGACAGTGAAATACTACAGATGACAAGACATTAGACAAAATGAAAGCTTCCTTCTTGTAAGATCTGTAACATACTTTTCCCCAATTACAACATTGACGTCTACTTGAAGAGAGGCTTGAGCCCAGCCAGCAAGCATTAACTCATGACATATAAGATCTGTTTTGAGTATTACTCTTTCTAAAGTTATGTTGAAGTTTTTCAATTTGGAGATACATTGAAATTACTGAATGATAGAAATGAACTGTCAAAAGCTATTACTAAACTGCTAGAAATGTCATGAAAATTTCACGAAGGCCAATGAGCAATACAACCACCAACAATGTAGTCAATTCTTATTTGTGTATGTGTGTGTGTGTGTGTGTGTGTGTGTGCACGTGTATTCTGTGTTCCTCTTTGACAGATCAAAAGAATGCATTAAGTATTAAAAACTAAAATGTCTATTTTGTCCATCTACTCTGATGTAACATAACAGGTTACCCAATTATTTAAACATTAATACACAAGTAATAATATTGTCCTTTAACAATTTCTAGGAGAAACCAGGCAGGTTAAAAAGACATGCATCATTTTAAAGTAACAAACTTATGAGTTACACAGAAGACATGAACATACAAATTACTCAGTATGTTTACAGAAATAGTTGACAATAGGCAGAAAGGAACAAGTTTGCCAGAGACTTATTTAAAACCCCAAACAATCAAATAGGTTGAAATAAAATACTGTTGCACAATTATTTGGAAAACTTTATTTTTTTTTATTACAGGTGGAGAACCAATGTTCCCTTCCCACCCATGCTTTTTGTATCATCTATCCTGAGTTGGGAAGAAATATCCTACCTGCATGAATTTGTGGAACTGAAGAAAAAACAAAGTAAAAATTATTTCCCTACTCTTCAAATCTTAATAGCTATAATAATTTCTCTTTGATGTAAGTTAAGAGATTATAAGTTAAGTGTTATGATTTTTCCATCAGATTCTGTCTCTTGAAATGAAAGTTGCGTGGTATTTTAAAAAAATACATGATAATAGTGACTTCTATTATAGTAGTCATATAAAGCCTGTCCATTTCTTTCTTTCATAGAATTTTTTCTGTCTAAGATAACTGTGATAAATTGGGACTTTCATTCATTTCAAACTCTTTTAACTAGTCACTTATGCTATTTTACAATGGATGAATACTTTGCAAAGAAAAATTAAGTAAATGAATCTTGATTGCTTTGAGTCCTACTACCTCAGTGACCAAATGCATCAGGATAGAACAGATGCATAAATTAAAGAGCAGAGTTAGAGTCTGTTTTATTTCTAAGAAGTGGAACCATAGTAGACCTCCCCATGTTAACAAGATATCATTCTAACTATATACATGGGAAGTTTGCAATTAGACATGGTCCATTTCCATGGATTCATGAAAGCTTGGAACACATTATCTACAATTTGCCTGATGGTTTTATAGTTGTAGAAATGGATAATAGAGAGATGTATCTGTCAAGATATTTACTTATCAAATGATATGTTGGTTTTTCTCCGGTACCGGGAACCGAACTCACGACCTTGCGCTTGCCAGGCAGGCGCTTTGCCGCTGAGCTAAATCCCCAGCTCCTCAAATGATATGTTAACTTTGATGATTATCAGTAAAATTTGGTAATGTTATCATTTAGCTTAAAATCTAGAGGAATTTGTTTCTTTTCTTGAACCTTAGGCAAAAAGACAGAATCCCTCCTTTTGCACTTGGCCTAACCTCATCAACGTGGCTTAGATGATCAGCCTAAGTGTTGCTGCTGCTGTATGAATTGGTGGATGATGCTACCCAATTACTAGCAGATAAGCAGATAAAGCATGTGATCAAGCCACATTATTTCTGGAAATACTTCTTATCACTTGACATAGTTCCTGGATCTCCATTTTAAGCTACACAATTCTTGGTGGGGAAAGGCAAACGAAGGGAATGAAGATATGTGGGGGGAGCAGATGGTGTATGAATTTGGGCAGATGGGGCCCCGGGCGTGGTAAGTGAAGAGTAAAGTCTGAGATAGAGATGGTAATTTCACTTTCTCCATATTTGACTAAAGTTTGCTGGGGTTGGATGACAGACATTGTAGAGGTTACCCTGTTTCATAGCTCTCACACAATGAACCTGACATTCACTTTTCATCTGGAACCAACCTAGTTGAACAAAGATTCCGTAGGAGAGTTTTGTACATTCCTTGTGCCTGGCTTTCTCCCAAAATGAAAGAGGTAAACAGATAGATAGCATTAGCACTCTCCAAGCCTTCGTTCATGGTTGGCTGTCCTATGATCAAAGTGGTGCTTTGTTTGATGGCCTGTGTGTCAATCAGGAAGGAGATTGATGCAATCCAACAAGCTGGGATGTTGGTATCATTGAAATGCCACTCTTCGGTTGTGTTCGACAACAGGAGATGATTTGTTTGCTATATTATTAGAGATCCTGGTTTTGGTCTCTCAATATTTATTGCTAATAATGTCCCAGGTAGCTTGATGGAAAAGCTTCAGTGCTGCAATGTTTACATATAACCAAACTGGAGCACTATTTTATTACATAGGGGAATCTTTTTCTCAACAACACAAGAAAGTCAAACAATACAGCAGTTATAATAATTACAAAGCACTTTGTGCTACTTTAAGCACCTCTTGTTCCAGAATTGCAAATAAAATTCTATGAAAAAGCATTTGAACCCCATTTTGCAGATGAGGAAACTGAGGCACAGAGAGGTTAAGTGACTGGGCCAAAGATACCTGGGTCAGCAGTAAATACAAGGACAAAAAGTGGGACCCTAGTGTTCCAGTTTTTCTTGTAGATTCTTCAGGTATTATTCTGGCTTTGAAAATGCCAGTGCTAAAATCAAGGATAAGATACTGCACTCACATATGGAAAGACTGGTGTAACATTTCGTAGAAAGAGTTTCTGGCTCCCTACACACATTCCCTATGCATGGGATTCTGGCCCCATAAATAAAATCTTGAAAATTTGAAAAATTGAGGTTGTCTTGTTATCTACAGTAAATGAGGTGTAAAATTAGCTTTTCAGGAACACATATTTGCTCTCAGAGCTGAATCCAAGACCCAGCGATACATAATATAATAATATAGGAAAAGTACCAGTCTTTAATAGTCTCTGGTAGAAAAGGAACTTATCAGAATCTGTTACCTCTGTATAAAAAATTAGAGCTAATTGCTTTCAACTGTCTGGGAAAAATGTTATCACTCTAAATGACAAGAGGTCAGACTGCTCTAGGTGTATCAAGATATGTTTAATATTCACATTTCTGTGGCAAGCCCAACAGTTGGTAGAAATTTACTTATCACCTCTAGGATGTTTTAACCCAAATCATACAGCATATTCATTCGCAGGCAATTTTAAATTGAAAACAACTATTTTGAAAATTGAAGGATTCAGATGTGTTCTCTGGCCCATATTCCCTATAGATATTGGTGTTCTAAACAGAACAAAGTCAGGGAACTTGTGATTTAGAATATTGTCTTAATTTTCAATATGAATGAGATCAGCCCACTGTTGGTAGAGGAATGCACATTGAAAGAAGAACAGGGAAGTATCAACTTTGCATTTCTGTCTCATGTAACATTCACCAGAGTCCTTGGACGTGGCTGCCAGTTCAGTTGGGTTCACTGTGATCCACTTGTCTGTCATCTGTGGGATGCATTCCATCGCTCCACCTTTTGCAGAAAAACAAAACAGAATGCCTTTCTTCTGTTCACATTGTAGATGTCTGTGTTCCTGAGTTTAAAACAATCATAAAGACTGAAAAGCAAATCCCTGTAGTAAGAAACCAGACTTTTCACATGAAACATTTTATTATAAATAGCTCCTCATAGGTATTCCTCGTGCTTCATTTCCCACCCACATTTGTTTTTGTTTTGCTTTGATTCTTTAAAATGATGTTTATTTTCAGGGCTAATGTTTCCATGGAGTGTGGTGTTACATTAAAATGACCCCCTGCACAGCAGGGGTTGAATGTTTCATTGTAACTTTGGTTCCATGCCCAAGACGCATCTTTACTGGATCTGCTAAAACTGGTTCCATTGCTCAATTTTTTTCTTTATACAATATATGTTTATAGTTCTCTTCTTCTGGTTTGAATATACATGTTTCATTAAATGCAGCATATATTGTAGATTTTTACCAGGGTCATGTAGGAACTGTTAAGTCAGAAACCTTGAATAATGGCTTTAAAGTACCCAGTCGTAGTCCTGGCTACAGGGTAGCACATAGCTTTTGATCTTCCTTGCACTGGTGTAAACAATTTTGCCATCTTTGAAGGTTTAGAAGCATTTGCCTTTTGGGGCTCTGATCCATATTTTCGGTTATTCTGTAAAACAAAGGGAAAAAAATCTTTAATCATCATTTCTGTTAATAGCTGAATCTGGAAAAAACAAGCTCTTGTACAAGGCAAGTTTGGTGTAAACCCCAGCACCAAAACTATACCAAACTAAACAAAAGACCCAAGACAAATGCCAACTTTGCTTTATAAAAAAAATTTTTTAAAAATTCCTTGCCATGTTTTTGAGCCAAATACTTTTGTTCAAATTAAAAAACATCTCTAAAGTGTAGTACTGTACTTTTAAATAGAAATAGAAGTATTTATTTCAAAACATATTGCACCATAAGGAAGTATAGAAGGCAATTCACAGTTTTGTCTCATAGTACATGGCCTGAAATATGAACTATTCCCATTATTACCTGTTCCTCTGCGGTGCTCCAAAGCAATCCCTTGAAAGTTAATTGAATCATCATAATTCCAAATATATTTAAAATGTTGTTTTGCAAGGTCTAGCTATACCCTCCAGTAACTTACTTTTATGTTACAATTTCTCCTCAGCAGCTATAACCATTGGTGGGTTGTCTCCACCCTAAGGACTGACTGAAGGACTCCCTGGGAAGTCTGCCTAACAGGTTGGCCTAGAGATATCCCTAAAAGGGGTTATTCCGGAGTGTTGAATTGGGACTTTTAGCTCTATTGCTCCTTAAGCCCATGTGTCTGGGTTTCACTCAGGTAGAAGTCTGGGTCATAAAGCTCTACCAAACAAAGCTGAAAGTGGCAAAGGGGACACACCATCATGTGCCACCCAGTGATATGGCCTTTAGAGTCTGACATGGATAGAAAAAATAGTTTTCCCATTTTTTCACTATATGCCCAAGGGTCAATTATCTAATTTAGGTAAGCCTTAATTTTTTCATCTATAAAATGAGATACTAATTTGTATAGAAAGATTTTGTTATTATTCCAGAAATGCTGACCAAGAGCTAAAGTGGGGGCAAAGGGGACGCTTAATATCTTGAGGACCCTTTCAATATACTATATAGAGGCAAATTAAAGATTCAAAACACTTCCTGCTGTAAGTGAAAGTCAGAAGTATTTGAAAAATACAATTGCAGAGCCATTTTGCTCCTGAGACTGGGTTGAATTGGGATGAAGGGGTGATAGGGTCACAGAGGGAAGGAAGTCCAGTGGCTGGGGCAAGACCACACTGCAGGGAGGGGGCAAAGTATTGAAAGGCATAAAGAGTTCAGTGGGGAGACTGTCTTCTATTGCACACACAGACCTGCCCATCTTCCCTTGTTGTTCTGAGCAGAGAATTGGAGAGGGATGATAAGACAGAGAGGGGGCAGGAAATAACATTAAACAGTTTGAAACTGAATTTTTAAACAGGGTTACACTTTTAAGATCTTCAAGCAACAATTTCCAAGTATAATATTCTTCCTTGGTTTTTCCACTGAGATGGAAAGGACAAGTGAGCATTTACCAGTTGATGGTGATGTGCAAATATGGTCTAAATAGATGGAAGCACATCTTTTTTTTTTTTTTTGGTTTTTCTCCGGTACCAGGAACCGAACTCACGACCTTGCGCTTGCCAGGCAGGCGCTTTGGCCGCTGAGCTAAATCCCCAGCCCGAAGCACATCTTAAAAGACACAATTCTACACAGAATTGTATTTGCTTGACATGTCTGTGGAGCTTGGCTTGTAATGAGCATTTTTCTACAAGCTGGGTTTGATACTAGTTACCTATCCTAATATAGGTGTATAATATAGAAAAACAGTAGATGCTATTACGGTTTTTGGTGCTGTAAATTGAGCTCAGGGCCTCATTCATGATAAATAAATGCTCTATACAATAACCTACATCCCCCAGCCTGCTGATCTTTTATATTAGGAAATTAATAATTACATAGTGTTACAATCTGAATGTCTGTGTCCTATCCAAATTCATATTGAAACTCAATCCCAAATGCAAAACAATACTGAAAGATTTAGGAGGTGATACCCTCATGAATGGGATTAGTACCTTCTAAAGGGGCTGGAAGGAACAAGCTAGACTCCTTTTGCCCTTGCATGCCTTCCACTTTGTGAGAACACAGAGCTGGTCTCCTCCAGCAGATACAGCGAGGTGCCACCATTCTGGAAGCATCTTGTGCTGCCCCTCACCAGACACAGAACCTGCTAGTGCCTAGTCTTGGACTTCTTGCCCTCCAAAATTGTAAGAAATGAATTTCTATAATTTATAAACTATTCAGTCCTGCATATTTTCTTATAGCAGCACAAATAGTTCAAGATGGAGAGATCAAGTAGTATCTATTTAGGAGAAGTTGTAAGTGTTAACAAATAATGTGTACAAAATGCATTTTAGTTATAAACAAGCTATCCTTTCCTCTCTTCTTATCCTAACATCAGTATTATCTTAGAAAATATTTGCTGACTGTTCATTATGTGCTAGGAAATCTCCAGGTATATGGGATACAAGATGAGAAAAACATGTTTCCTGTCATCCTGTAGCTTAAATAGAATAAGGGAGCAATATATTAATAACAAATACTGTGCAATTTTTTTAACATAGGCATGTAACATTCAGCCAGAAAGTAACTCAAGGAAGACTTTCCCAAGACAGTCACAATGGAGTTGAGATCTGAAGAAGAGGAAGTAGGTGATTAGTAGAGGAAGGGCGGGGGCAGTGTTCTGCACACTAAGGCAGCTTGAGCTAAAGCTTGCGGTGTGGAGGAGGGAGTGTGGCTCATCAAGGGAATGGGAACATGATGGCTTGAGAGATTGTCTATGCTTAGGGCTTCATTGCACAGCTAAGGAACTGGGACTTGATACTAATGGTGATGTTTTCCTAGGAAAGTGGCAAGATTAAATTTGGGCTTTGAAAAACTCACTCTGCTGTCTGAAAAGTATCTTTGGGGAAAATATTGAGCCCAGGTACCCTAGTAGCTATGAAGCTACCGTTCAGGAGAGAATGTACTTGTTTACCTACTCTTTGCTTTGTCAATGAATCCTTTAAGTTAGTCTCCAACTTTTATATAAGGAACAAATTTTTTTTTGTGGCGGGGTTGGGGAAGCTCCTGGAGATTGACCCAGAGCCTTTCACATGCTAAGCATGTGTTCAGCCAGTGACCTACACCCACAGTCTGGATATGTTATCTTACATAGCACTACATTACTCTGCTATTCATGGCTTCAATCTTGCATTTCACAAATTTACTTTCATATTACTTTTTTTGACCATTTATTCAATCATCCATCTGCCCTTCAGCCCATCTGCCAATTTAAAATGTGTTCAGCACCAAGTACATATTAGGCACTGTTGTACACACTGAAATTATAAAGATGAATAAAGCGTAAGCCTTACACTAGGCTTTATTGAGTCCCTGTAAGAAAAGGAAACAATTTTAGAATAACTGGGTGAAGGCTAATGAATATATTTACATAAGGAAAGGAATGATTTATTAGGATAGCATGATTCGTCTTTTAGAATTTCTTTACCAAGGTGAAATAATAGGAAGCAAACATTTTCTACTTCAAGCAATGAAGACAGATTTGTTATTTTCACAAGACCACTTGTGAGAGACCCTCCAGTAGCCCCAAATTCCCCCAAAACCAATTTGTTCCTTGTATAAAATTTGGAGACTAACTTAAAGGATTCATTAGCAAGGCAAGTGGTCTTGTAAACATCGCTGGGAGAGGGTACTAAAAATATAAATGTAGTAAAAAGTAAATATGTACATATACTTAACATACTTTGTAACCCATTAACTGCGGGTGTTTTCATAGCACAATATTTAACTTTTTAAAAATTTTTGCATCAAAGCAATGACAGTATAGTCTGTTTCTTACATTTTCTCAATGTTACTAAACAGGGGGTAAAAACATTGAGCTGTCAAGTTCAAGAATTCATGGTTGACATTGAAGAAGCAACCTCTATCGTAAACTGAATGTGTGAGAGATTCAGGGTGCACGCTCCTTATGAGAATCTAAATCCTGATGATAATGAGATGGAGCTGAGGCAGTGATTCTAGCGCTGGGGAAAGGCTGTTAATATGGATTAACATCAGCAGATCTGATTCCACAGCAAGCATAATAAATCAATAAATTCTGGATTACTTCCAGAATGACATCAATACCCTGTCAAGTGAGTGGCAAGTGACAAAGTGGATCTGGTAGCAGCCTTTACATCAGAATCTCATACTTATTTTAGTTCATGGGTACCCCTTCTTTTACTTTATTTACCACTTCCATCCTCTTTCTTGCACTGTCTCTGTTTGTCTTGGTCACAATTTTGGTAAGCCCCCAAGCTAACCCTAGCAAAAATAAGTGAAAAAGATGTGTCACTGGGGTGCTTCTTTGAAAAAGAGGAAAGACCCAATGATGAGACTTTAAGACTGCCAAAAAAAGACAAGTACACGTAAAACAAAATATCGAGTCCTCCTTACATTGTGAGTTCATTGCAACAGATGATTCACATTCTCCAAGCCCACTTTGTATAATATATGGCAACAAGCTGCCCTGCCCAGTTAAGCCACTAAATCTTCAATACTGCTTTGCACATGGACATTAAGCACCTGGGATTAAAAGACAAGGCTTTGGAGGGTTTTGAAAAGTGAACATGAGGAACAGAAACTATTATTGAAGGCCACTACTTAATCAAATGTGTCTGCACTGAGAACATCCCCATCGGGGCTAACCACATTGCTAAAGTTAAGAAGCCCCTTACTATTGGTAACAAGTTGATCCTGCCTGTTGCTAAGGTCATTTGTTTTCATTTGTTGTGAACTTTGAGTACAGACTGCAGTTCAAAAGGTGGCATGTGTTTGTCTTTTGGTTGGCACCATAACTAGATGAACTGATGGAATAGCAGAGGACACTGAGTCACAGTTGTTGGAGAGGATTAATTTGTCACTGTGGTAAGCAATCCAGATGGAAGAGTCTAATACTGTTGATGACAAGGCAACAATGTGATACATTGTTTTCAGAAGGATGTGCAGGAGGTTATGTTACATGCATTTTCGTTGCCAACTAACATCACAGCTTCAGAACTACTTAAGTCTTTGATTACATTAGTAAAGCTGAACTGGTCACTTTGTGTCAGCATATGCATGGATGGAGTAGCTGTGACTACTGGAGAGCTTTCTGCTTTCACTATGAAGGTCAAAGAGGGCACTTTTTAAATTGAGTCTATGCTCTGTGTCACCCATAGAGAAATGCTAGTGAGCTGGAAAACCTTACCTTAATATTTTTTCAGGGTGTGGTTAAATTTATTCACTGTATTAAAGTCCATGTGCAATTCTGTTAGGAAATGGATGTGGGCATGCACATCTTTTACACACAACATGAGATGGCTCTCTAAATAAAGGTAGATCACAGCCCAAAGTTTTTAAGTTATGAGAGGTGCACTAGAGATTTCTTTTAGAAAAACGTCACATTAGCACACATTTCAGTGATATGAAATGGGCTGTAAAACTTGCTTACTTAACCAGGCATGGTGGCACACACCTGTAATCCCAGCACTCGGGAGGCTGAGGCAAAAGGATCATCGCAAGGTCGAGACCAGCCTGGGCTACAAAGTGAGCTCAAGGCCAGCCTGCACTGCATAGTGAGACCCTGTCTTAAAAAAGACAAAACAAACAAACAAACAAACAAACAAAAAAACAAACCAAAAAACAACACTTGCTTACTTGTGATACAGTCAATCTGCTCGATGAACTCAATCACTTCAAAGGAGAATGGCAAATGTGTTTAAATCAGCAGATAAAGTGGCAGCATTCAAAGTCAAACTGGAATTATGGGAGTGACAAGTGCACAATGGAATTCTTGACATATTTCACACATTAGTAGAGATTTTTGAAAAAGACCGAACCAGGGACTTCTTTCCCCTAGATGGTTCATGATCACTTGTCTCAACTTTCAAAAGAATTTGAGGAATAATTCTCAACCACAGAAGACTCCTGAAATGGACAGAAATGGATCCATGACCCATTTGTGAATAAGCCAGGTGATTCAACTGCCTGAGATGCCAAATGATGGTGGACTACAAAATATGTTTGAGAAAAACTTCACATCTCCACACATGCTGTATTACAGTCTAAGGGAAATATTCTGAGATTGCCACAAAGACACTGACAAGCCTGGTTCTGTTTCCAACATTTTTGAAGAGGGTTTTCTGCAATGATCTCAACCAAAACGAGATCACACAGTAGAATGGACATAGGCAACACACTCTGAGTGTCTCAGCCTCCTATCATCCCTAGGTGGGACTGTACATTTTCGGGAAAGCAATTTCAAGGCTCCCACTAATTCTGCAGTATGGTAAGTTGTGTAAGTATTTCTTATATACCTCAATGTAATAATAATAAATATAAAGTGCATAATAAATTTAATGTACTTGAAGCATCCTGAAACCTTGAAGCATCCTCCCCACTTGGTCCATGGAAGTACTATCTTCCACAAAAGCAGTCCGTGGTGTCAAACATATTTTGGACTTCTGGGTTAGACAGAAGAACTCAGAGTTCTTTAATCTTTGGCTTACGACTGAAAGTCACACCACTGGCTTCCTTGGTACTTGGGCTTTCTAACTTCTAATGAAAGTAACACAAAAGATTTCTGTGGTTTGCTACCTTGTAGATGGCCTAAGATGGGACTTCTTAGAATCATGCCAGTGCTAGTCACATCTCCTAATATATGTCCCATTACGCATCTTTCTCCTTCTCTGTCTCCTGTTTCTCCTCTTCTCTCTCCCTCTCTCCTCTCCCCTCCCTCCCCTTCCCTCCTCTTCCCACCCTTCCCTCCCTCCGACTCTCACTAATACAGTCTTATACTGTTCATTTGAATAAACAGAATTCCTGGGCAGGTGATGACTCATGGAACTCCCTGGGAATCTTCCTATTCAAGTCAAACTTCTTACACAACCTATGTGACTGAGTGATTTAGTCACCAGGGACAGGACTTCTTGTAGTATGTGTGCTTCTGAGAGGGCGGTTAGTAGCTTCTACAGCATCCCTGCAAATAATGCCTTAGGTGATTGTTAAATGAAAAGAAGTATGAGTCATTACATTTTAAGCTTTTATTTATATATGTTAGTCGGGTTTTTGAACAGAATAGAAATCATTCATTTACTATATATTTTTATTCTCTTTAAAAGAAAAAAGAAAAAAAATTATGATTATTTGTGGTACACTTTTGCTATCTGCCCACAATTCAAGCACTTTTCTTCCTTAATTCTCCTTAGTGCTGTCTTGATGGCTTCGGAGACATAAGTAGCATTAATTAGTTTTCAGTAATGTTATATTCCCACATATTAATTAAATCCAGATTATTTTCTGGAAAGAGGGAATGAAAGTCAATTTATTTCTATTTAGGCCATAAATACTTGAAAATACTGGAGACTATCATTTCAACATTTACATATATACAAAGTCAGTAAATGTTGTAGCTAACTTTTTACTATTAATAGCTAAGAGCTGTGGTTTAACTCTTTCCTAGGAAATGTGGTAAGTGCATAACCATGTTTAATTCTCTGAACACAACACTATGCTGTGGGTAGCATACCTGTAACTGTTTTATAGAAGAGGAGACCTATTCTCATGCAGATTAAACAAATTTCCAACCATCACACAGCCAGTCAATGGTAGGGTGCAAAGTATAGTTGGCTTCAAATCTATATACTATTCTCAGCCATTTCTCTGAATAGATTTGATACTGCCCATATTCATTATCATATTCACTTACAGTAGTATTGATTAGCATTATAGTGTTTCATTTAATAGATAATTACAAAGTGTCAATTATGCACTACTTTGGAGGAAAACCAAATTAAACTTTGTACATTCCTTGGAGTTGCAATAAAGTGAGAATCAAAAGAGAGATGCACACATTGGAATTTCCAGAGTCCATAGATAGCTCCTACTATACTATGCACAGAACAGAAAATGCCTCTCACAGCTGCCACATATGAACATAAGTGTTGCTCTTTTGCTTACTGGTTAGAAATGTACAGTGGAGTGAGGCTATCTGGGTCAGGGCAAACCCGAATCCTGCCAAGTACAGGTGTATGGTTTTGAGACAGTTGCAGGCTGTAGTTTCTCCAACTGTAAAATAGGAATGGAAGCAATAGCTACCTTATAGAGAGTTGGATGAGGATTAAACACATGTATGGCTTAAAACAACTCCTAACACATAATAATGCTAACCACTATCTATATTCATGTTGAAATGCTCATTTTCCAGCTAATATTTATGATGTTTCATTTTTTTTCCTATAAGCCACCATGCATCACTTGTGGCTTACTAAATTTTATTTACCATATTTAGCTACTTATTGGTTGGGGGTTTTCTAACACTCTGGCCATTTTGATCCATTCATGGAGAACCTCATCTCTTTTCACATTAGATACCTTTATTCACTTTCAGAGATTCAATGTTCTTTGTATGCTGCAAGGCTGTGACCCATAGAAAATCTTTTGTGGGCAGGAATAAAGCCTGAAGGGTGGATAAAGAGGAGATGCACTTTCTGGGCATATCTGTCAAACTCTCCTTATCTCAGGACATGCTAAAGCCCTTCTGTTTGCTTGTCTTACATGCAAGTGACACAGTTGATACTCACTGAGGGAGAAAGTATTTCTCTTTCATTTTTCAATTTGTTAGAAAAAATATTACATGATATGAGGTCTGGAAAAGATCACTGAACAATATAACTTTATAGAATAATCAGGCAGACATGGACCATGGCAATCAGATTTATAATAGCAGCTATGCTTTTTCCTTTTTTAACAATAGTATTGAGATTTATGGTTTCCATATCTGTCTGGATGGACGTCAGAATCACCTACTATGCCTGAAAATCCCAACCAGTCTTTGTTCCCCACCTTTTCCACCCTCCATTTCATCTCTTTCTCCAGTGATCTGATTCATTGTATCTGAGGTAGCAGGTTGAGATCTGCTATTTTAAGTGTTGGGAAACACTGGTTAAGATTATTTATGTACATATTGATGATGTACACCAATATTAGCGAATAGCAGTCATATAATTCTCTATTTCATCTCCTAAATTGCCATTGAATGTTCTTGGTTTGTTTTTTGTTTTGGGGCACTGGGAATCGAACTCAGGATCTTGTGCTTGCCAGGCAGGTGCTTGTGCCACTGAGCTATATTCCCGGCCCTGACATTGAATGTTCTTTATCTGAAAACAAGATCCAATTTTATTTAATAGCTTGCTTTCTCAACTTCTGATGAAAACACTGGAAATTGAGTTGAAAAATACTAGTCATTACTGGATTTTTAGAATCTAGGAATCAGCATTTTCAAACTGAGGCAATACTAAAGATACAGTCATATTTCTTCACTCTGAAGCTCTTTCAGTATAACGGGAGATTACAATGATAATACTAAGATCCCCAGACATTGGGGCTTCTCAAAGTAATACAGTGAGCTGAGAAAATTCTTTATTCCTGTCATATTTCACAACATATTTATTGCTTTAATAATCACGCAAATGGATTGAATCTGCTTCTTATGTTATAACTCAATTTATTTTTTTCAAACATGGCACTCTAAACTACACACAACATTCTTTCTATCAACTACCCCTCAGAACCACATTTTTGAGAATTAAATGGAATCTTACCTTTAAGAGGCACCTTGACATCAAGGCCATAGAATAAAGGCAAGAGAGAAGAACAAGAATAGAAACAGAAACTGCAGAAGAAAAAGAAGAAGATTATGTAAATCTGAATTTCTGTAGAGCCATTCAGGTAGCATAAAAACCTCAGCTTTTTTGTATTGCTCAAATTTTCCCATTTCTCACAAGCATACATACTTTTTGTTTCCTAAATCCATACATTTCAATTATCCATTAAGCAATGGCAGTCTTCAACTAACATCATATTTTAGAATTATGGGGAGGGTCTCACAGATCATTGATCTAAGCTTCTAATTTTTTAGCAGAGAAAAATAAGCCCAGAACCATGCATCAACAATTTAATTTCACATCGCAGTGAGGGCAAGTACTCAGATATTCTGAGTCTTGTTTCATCAGATATCATTGTCTTCATTTCTGTGTATTGGAAAGCATTTCAGAAATACAAAACGTGATTAGAACAGACACTTAATCATTCATTAAACTACCACTGTTTGTTAATGTGATAGGTTTTAGGCCCAACATACAGCAGTGAGAATATTAATGTGTAAATTAAATGTACAACTACTTATCCTCAGGAGGACACTGCTGAGAGAGATGTGGCGTACTGCTAGTAATTACACTGGGACGACAGGTATGAACTAGGTCAGTCCTGGGCAAGTGAGGGTGTGTGCTCCATTTTACTTCAGTGGGCATTTCAGATAATGCGGCCTGGTGTTCTTGTTGCCCTGTCTCTGAAGCAGACTGATAGCTATTTGGCTTATGTCAGTTTCACTAGCGAAGCCGATAACTGGGTGAAGAAGTGTGTGTTCTATAGCCCTGGGATATAACCGATGGTGTGCTAATTACGAAAGGCTCTGGGTCAGGTCAATTTTATAAAAGTGTTGCTCTCCTTCGTACTTGACTATTACAGAGTTCACAAGTTTACTGCTTACATTCCAGGAACTTTCCGTTGGATGAAGCATCTTTGAATAAGCTCTGTGTATGCTGTTCCTGTGTTTTGCATGCTATTTGCATTTTCCTTTATTACCACTGCTTACAATGTTCTTGCTTCACCATAGCCAAGTTCTGCAAACCAGTGACAAATATAGTGCAATGATTCGTGTATTGATGCCTATTCTATTATTCTGAAAAGCACAAACTTTGTTCTTTTGTCATTAATTCTTTGCAAATACTGCCATAGTAGGAGAAGCTAGAGAAAGAGGAAAAATGTAAAGCTGCCAATTATTTCATCTTTAATTAAATTCTTATCTCTGCAGCATGGTGGGCAGCTCATGACAATCGGGGTCAAACTAGCTGAACTTGGTCTTGATTTAGTAGTTTGGCTAGGTAATTTTAGGCAAGCTGTTTACTCTTTTTGATCCATTGCTTTATTATCTGTATTAAAAGGTTTCATAACGTGTGCTGTGTCTGTCCCATAGAATAGTTATAAGACTTGAATGAGATGATGGCAATGGCAATGCTTTGGACATGGTAAACTACTACACAGGGCTGAGACAACGTTGCTGGGTTAGTTGTTACCACCTGATGTATACTAGCTGTGGACAAGGAAATCAGCAACAAAGAATGAAAATTTCATTTACCTTGAGTAGGTGTTCAAGGATTCCCAAAGAAAGAATGAAGAGCGTCTCTGACATAAGTGATCTTTAGCTTTCACTAGGCTGGACTGAGAGTAGGAGTGAGGTCAAGCACATAGAATGTCCAGCTAAATCTCACATCTCTCTCCCAACTCTCTTCAGAAATCCACCAGTTTGTTTGCAGAGTGGCTTAGTTTACTATTTTATGTGCAATACAAACTGTAATAACTATAGAGCCTTGATTCTCCATTGAGCACATCCCTGAAACATCCCACATGTCTGGGAAGGTCAGACTTACAATGTGTTGAGTGAAAGGATTGTGAAAATGTTCACATTAAATTTTGACCATGAACATGACTTTAATTCTCCTTCCCCTAAAATTCTCATGGGTTCTATTTAGAAAAGGGCTGTAGTGGTACCATCAATAGTTGCACCACCTATTTTAAAAACCTCAATTGACTAGGGAGTGAATGGTATAACATTTCTGAGGCAGACAAGCCACGAGTTCGTTTTAGAATTTGTCCATGAACAGAGAGCCCGGCCAAAAGTAGGCCACTCACAAGTGTCAGAAAGGGAAGACATCAGGTGTGTCCTTGAATGACCAGGGAAGCTGGGAGCAACCCCTGCCTTCTGTGGACTTCCTGTCCATCACTGGAAAATTAAGCTCACTTCTTGGCTTATTGTACTTCACCTTTCCCTCATTTAATCATGTAGAGCTAAATAATCTACTTCTGAAATGAGGGAGATTCAAATTTATACTTTTGGAGAGGATGTATCCTGTAGGGGTGGAAAATTTTTTAATTGTATTTTTTAGTAGGACTTACAGTTTCTAGTGTTAGTTTCCTAATTTTCACATGAGATCTGATTTGACCCTCTTGTGATCCATGACGGGTGGGGTGGGTGCAAGCGTTGTCATTCCCATTTTATAGAAGTGGTTGAGACACACAGGTGCAGTCACTTACCAAGGTCAAATAGTATCTGAAGACACCTGGATTGGAACCTGGGTGTCTAGCAGCCTTGCTGCTAGATTCCACTAACTCCTTCTGACCTCACAGGTATGCACAGGTAACTATAGGTAAAGGTTATTTGAACCAAATTCTGACCATTGTCTCAGGAATGGCAGAGGGTTTGCTATTTTCTTCTTGTGTGCCATGGAAGATGTTGCAAAGAGCTGCATACATTTTTAGTATAGATATTCAGATCGCAACTTCTAGTCAGTGAGATTGGGATGCCAGAGAAAATCTCTCTGCTGTCCCTTCCGTGTTCCTAGGGGGATGATCCAAGCACCTCGGGCAGGACCATTCTTTATATGCAAGACTGTTAGCTCACAGCAGCTTGCTCAGCATCCCTACTTCAGCCCTGTCAGTTGCTTTTCCTGCCACACACTAATATCCAGTGCTTTCTTTACCAAGAGCTGTTTTTTCCTTCAAAAAAATGATTGGCTGGCTTGGAAGAGCAGTTTCTCTTGCAGACCCTTGGAATGTGACAAACTGTCATGTGTCAATGTAAGTTTCTGAACTTTTTGTTGGGGTGAAACCACAGCATAAGGATGAAGGAGGGCTTTATAAGTAATAATGGGAAAGATTTTTTTTAAGGGGTTAAAGATTTTTAAGAGAAAGGGCAAAGCACAATAACAAAACTTAGAGAAACTCCTGGAAAGGAAACAAAGATAAAGAAAGGGAAATTGAAAAAGGAAAATAATCACATAAAAGAATAAGAATCAACACAAAGGGTAAAAGTGTGAAGTCTGAGTCACTGACGGCTGAGCCTGGCACCTGGAGAGGCGAGTACCACATGCACTGTAGCTATACCTGCTTGGGCCAGGCCCACAGTAACACGGAAGGGAGAACACAGCCAATAAAATCAATATTGGTTTCTGACTAAGTGCAAAAGCAAACAGACACTGAATTTAACGCATACCTTTTCTTCTAAGTCCTTTATTTGTCTTTTCTGGATATCTGTTTTATCTTCCAAGTCACGGATTCTCTGAAGAAAGAAAACGAAAATGTGGAAGTGCTAGCAGGGGTTCAGTGGTACAGAGAAACTGTTCACCAAATCAAAACACATAAATTTCGTAAAAATAATGAATAGCTGGAAGTATGATAGAGTATGTTTCCATATCAGAAAGTTATTTTATATTTCAAAAATTACCCAGACTGGCGGTGGAACATTACTGCCCCTAATCATATTTTAAAATATTTAAAACCATATCCAGGAATCTGCAAGAATTCACTCCTCTTCCAGGAGAGAGGGGCAGATGCGACCCCAGCGGCGTCAGGCTGTTGGGGAAGGTGAGCGGCAGTGCGCTGCTGCGACACCACATTGTTGTTGAGAAAACAATAGGTTCCAGAACTAGGGAGCAGTGAGCAAGTTGTGTTCTTAACCCTTCGGATTGAGAGTTTTTGTGACGTATTAGTGCAGTAAAATTGTCAAAACTGATGTTTACAAACATAAACGATCCTATTGCTTTCTAAGTTTTCTTTTTAACTTTCTCACACCTATTTCAGGGCAGAATTTCCTCACAAACACGACTGACCAATTCTCATAAGAACATAATAGGGTTTTAAAAAATTCTCAGAAGGGGATTGATAAACCAGGGGAAAAATTATAACAAAAGTAGCACAAGTAACAGTAAAGACAAAAAAACCTCTAAGACTCTTTATACTTACCTGAGAACTGTGTCACCAGAGTCCACTAATTTAAATAGTATAGACTGCATAGCAACATTGATTATACAATTATTTTACAAGTAAAAGAAATCTCCACAATTACAGTTGGCAATTTAAAGGTTTGTGTATGTGTGTGTGTGTATATGTGTGTGTGTGTATATGTGTGTGTGTGTGTGTGTGTGTGTGTATGTTCATCTACATGGTCATACACTGCCAGCTTGTTATTTAATGACTCCTGTTGAGAAAAAACTAGAAAATAGAGGACTAGAACTTGAGAAGAAAAAATGGAAGCCAAATGGGGTGATAACACAGAGAGGTTTTTATAATGCAATGTAGAGAGAGAAAATGGAAACTAGAGCAGAGCACACTTGAACTAGGAAATTAGATCTTCTTTCTAAAACAGCAGTTCTCAGCTGAGGATGGTCCTCCTACTACGGCAAATCTGCATACTTTTAAAATAGTAATTTAAATTAGATAATTCAGTGACTGTTAATATATTCATAAATTTGTTTCCTCCCTTACTGCTAGCTAATGATCTGAACTTTTGTTATGGTCAAAAGTGAAGGTGTTTGCAACTGACATCTGATAGGTAGAGGCCACTAAATAACCTGGGATGCAAAGTCAGCACCACCCTTGCTCCAAAATAATAAATAATTATCTGGTCTAAAATGTCAGTTTGGAAGTGCTGAGCTTAAGAAAATGTACCCTAAATGAAAAGGGCTGAGGGCTTTGCAGGAGAGAGTGGGGGTGCTTTGGTCACAGTGAGATCATCAGAGTTGATCATGAAACGATAGGGCAGTGAGTTCTGGGAAGGTGCATGAGACAGAACTGTATATGGGTGATGTTTGTGCTGCTGTGCATTTCAGTGGCGTTGCCTGTGCTCCAAAGTAGAAGAGTAAACTCACTAGACACTTCTAACTTGAGTGTGCAACCACTTCCTGGATATGACTCCTGGATGTTGAGGTAAGAATTCTATTGAGAGAAGCATGAATATGGGAGATAAATGAAGAATTTTATTTAGCCATCAAGGCAATATTTATTGGATATTTCTTGCCACATTCAAGACTATGCTGAACACAATGGAGGACACAGATACCAGTTAGTTCTTGATCTCAAAAACTAGGAGATGCAGATGGGATGACGAAATTTAAAACACGGGGAATAACAAAATTAAGTAGAAAAGGTAGACAGTGGCAAGAGCCATGCACAAGTTTATCACCAATCTCCAATTCCTAGTACAGTGTTTGGCATGGAAAAACTGTTCACATATATTTGTTAAATGAATTAATTATGCTACACTGTATGATGCGGGCATGATTTCTTTTTGTTACCATTTCTTTTCTGTACAACACCACAGTAAACTTCATCCAACTCAAAACAGAACCCTGATCTTCAACTTCTCTTTATCTCTCCTGCTACCAAGTACAAGTCACTGTCATCCTTTACTAGGTCCTGTGAGATAGTTTGCTACCTGCTCTACCTGTCTTGTATCTTGTTCATGCTGAACCCATCCACAGCAGCCCACGAGAACTTTTTTTTTTTTTTTTGGTTTTTCTCTGGTACCGGGAACCGAACTCAGGACCTTGCGCTTGCCAGGCAGGCGCTTTTGCCGCTGAGCTAAATCCCCAGCCCCGAGAACTTTTAAAATGTGAAAATGACCACAACAGTTTGCTGAGTTTAAGAGGCTGAGGAAGGGAAAGAGAAAAAGTAAGCTGAATTGTGTTCATAATAAAACCAGGCTCTTGCAAGGGCCTACATGCTGTGGCCTTTACTAATCTCTCCACCTTTACTTCAATCAGCCTTATTCTGACTGAGTGCAGTCTTGCCACACTGGTCTTTTTTTTTTGGTCCCTTGAATGTGCTAAACTTATACTTGTCCTAGAAACTGATCTTTTCTCTATCTCCTGGAACATTTTCCAAAGCCTTTGTGTGGCTATTTCCTTGGATTTTAGATATCTTTGGAGAGGCCTCCTTGAGCAGCCAGTCTAAATGGCCAATTGTACTCCCAAATTCACATACTGATTGTATGATCTTCTTCCTAGCACTTATTGGCAATCTTAAAAGTTGCTGTGGTTATTGTTTACTTGTGCTGTGGCTTTGTTTCTTTCCATCTACAAGATAGATGAGAGGAGAAACTTTGCTGCCTTTTTTCCCCATCACAATTCCCAGCACCTGGCATCTAGCAGGCCCTCAGTGTAGAGTCACACATAAGCATACAAAAGGATATGAAAAACACATTTCCTACAGCATCGTGTGCTCCATTTTGTTAATCAGGGAAAGGACCTTGAAAAAGGTGGATTATTAACAAGGACTGGAAAAAATGGGAATATTAGAATAAATGCAGTGACAACTGAAGGTCATTTTAAGGGTAAGCAGTCATGCAGATAAGGATATGGAGGTGAAAAATCATGACCCAAGTGGGACCAGGACATTTCCACGAGTGGGGAAAAAAGTACGCACTGGAAACTGTCTCAAAATGGGTCTTGGGGAGAGAGGTAGCCAATTAATGAAGGATCTGAAGAGATCTGCACAGGATTTGACTCAAGTGGAAATTGAGACCAAGGGGGTTGTGAGCAAGAATGTAGTACTAGGAAAGGTGAGAAGAACCAAGGGCCATAAACGCTGTTGACTGAAGAGAAAAGAGAAGGAAGTCCTTCCCCATGTCACATGCACAGCCCTTTGAAAAGGACATTTATTAAGGTCTATTACAGTCAGTTTTCTGCATGATGGTCTCCTGTGTTTTGTGAAGGTTGGGTCCATGGGGAATTCTTTGTGTCTAGCATCGTACCTGGCACTAGGAAACACATTTAAGTATTTAAATGCATGGATAATGGAATTGGGTTACCTCAGAAGGCAACTGGCAGCAACTGGAAGCTGTTGCAAAAATGAAAGGTCTTGCACATGCCTGTGGTAACACATGTGAACAAAACCAACCAGCTGCACAAGTGCTGTGGGGGGAAATGCTGTTTGGATGTGGTGCTGCCTGAATTCTTGGAAATGATGGAGAAGAATCCAGTATTCCTAGCCTGAGCAATTTGGGATAAGGTCATTCTACTAACCAAAATAGGTAGGTTGGGAGAGAGAAGAAAAGCAAGAACAACAATGAATACTACTCTGAAATATTCAAGTAAAAACATCTAATAAATGGTTAGTGGTATACTGTAGATGTTAGACTCCATTGCATAATTGTATATGGTTAACATCTTCTACACTAAGTCTCTGAAATTAAATCAATGTTTAAAAAAGATGAAGAGTAAGAAAATAACCGGGCAAGGCAGATTTCTAATGAGTATTTGTTTCAGAAATAGAAAATGTCAGTGGAACTCTCCTAGGTTAGGAAATAACATGTGTCTATTTACTCGGGCTGGGTCACTTATACAAACTAATGCAATTCTTTAGGGAGTGAATGAAATACTTCAGTTTACTAGTTAAAGAGAGACTCAAATGGGACAAGAAGGATTTTTATCCTAAGTAAGCTTAGATGTCTACTACTATGTCTTACCAGTAAACACTTCTGTGGTTCCATGATATAACTTCCAATTTAAAAAAGAATTATGATATTGGAATACATGAAGTTTATGCAGAAAACACTTTTATTTCCTCATCAAAGGAAGGAATGTGTGAAGGAATACAATGTGGTAACAGAGTCTATTACTAAAGCCTTTAAAAACTTAGGTAATGTGTCAAAATTCAAACCTTCATGATGGACTCTGAATACATATTGATAGCAACATATATGTGCTTATCACCTTGGGGACAAATGACTTCAGAGTTTCCTGCTAATTTAGGTAAACAGACTAAAGATGTGCAGCCTCTTAGCTGTATCTGAGGAGGGGGTAGGTGTTAATTCTCATGAATTATTCTTATTGATGTCATAAAATAACTCCAGTTTCTTTTCTACTCAACTTGATCTCTGATATACAAGGGATTGTTACTTCATATATATTCCCAACTGTGTCTATATCACTTGCTTGTTACAGCTCTAAATACTGAGTACTACAACCCGGCACTTTCAGTTCTGGAATTCTCAATGAATCTGCTTTTTAAACAAGGGTTTTATCCCTCACTTGTTAAATTATAACATGAAGGAACAACTGGAATTAGGAATTTTGTTGGAAATTAGTACTGGATGCCTGTTTTGAATCTTACTAGTCTAGATAAATCATAGACACCACAGATGACTTAAGCTATGCATGGCAGTATTGTGTAATGGTTATACCTACCAATCTTGGGGTCAGACAGACCTGAGTCGTAATCCTAGCTCTGTTGTTTGCTATCTGTGTCATCTTAGGTAAATAACCTAAGAGTTCATCTCCAAAATTGGGACAGTAATAATACTTACCTCCTGGGGCTATTATGAAGATTAAATGAAAGGATGTAAACAGTTTAGTTTAGTTCCTGGCTTATAGCAAATGCCAGTTAGTATACAGCAGCTTCCAGACTTTGTTGCTGTTGCTGTTTGCTCTGGGAATAGAGAGAGGCCCTTGTTCTCTTTCACTCTGTTTAGATTATTTGATGAAGCTCAGTTATGGACTAGAATGAATAATAGGAAGGAATCACTACTTTCCCCGGGAGAGATAGTGACTTGCTTCCCGGCATAAGGAGTAGCTGGGCTCCATGACATTCAAAGGATATTTCACAACAAAGTAGTTCCAAGAATGATAGCACTGTGCAATGCTTCTGCAATGCCAATTTTCTGAAGATCGAATTTTTATGAAACTGTCCTCCTGTACTAAGTGACAGCAGAAAGCAACAGTTATTCGTTTTAGCCTTTAAAAAATCTCCATGCTTAAGCTCAATACCATCGCGTTAGTTCTACATCTCACTTGCTTAGTGCTAGCCTACATAGATGTAGGGGCTCAGTCCTCACCTGGTGGGCTTGCTGTAAGAGCTCCATTCTCTCCTGCAGAATCTGACAGTCATACTCTCTGCTCTTCCTCAGCATTTGCCGCCGTAACTTTTCTACTGCCGTCCTCAGCTCCTCTTGCTGTTTTTCACTTAATAATTCACCAAACTTGATAACAGTTTCTTGCTGCAGAGCATTGTACAAAGTAGCTTCTAGTTCCTGGATTCTCTGGCAAATAAAATTGGAAAAGTCTAACTTTGGAGCTGAGCATTGACGCATGGTGCTAGGAAGGCAGATGTGTAGCTGTATGTGGACATGGACGTAGTGCTTTAGTCTCTCCGATCTTAGCGACAGGAAGTACAAAAGCTTCTCCAACCCAACTCCCCCTCTAAACAGTCCCTTTCTGATAGCCCATAAGGGTCATACAGATAACACATGTGCTACTCTAGTGAGGGAAATCTGTTTTCTTTCCTGGTATCTTATCTATTTTATATACTTTCCATTTACAGAAAGCCCTTTGTTATGGTAACTATACCTCCTTCTATTCTTATATGTAACAGAGAATAAGTTTTGTTTCTCTTCCCCTTGAAAGCCCTTCAGGTATTTGAAAACATCTAACATGGTGACCCAACGTTTAGAAATAAGTGGTCTAAGTTGGAATAAAATACTTGAAATTGGAGATATATTTTCATCAACATAATGCCACCACTCTTTTACATAGTAATCTTTTGTACTTGAAGTTAGCTTTATGATCTCCATGTTTTATCTTGAAATAAAAATTGGGAAATATGATCCCAAGATGGCCCAGAGTCTTAGAATTGGTCAGTTTTCTAATACACTCAGATTTATGATTTTCCTAGCACAAACATTTCTCTGAGTCCTTTCTTTGATAGCTGCAGTGTTTACTACCTCTTGTATCTCAGTTTATTAAAAAATCTGCTTTAGATACAGTTGCAAAACCTATAGTCTTATTCCTTATAACTTTCACAAGAGTGACTGGACTTGCCCTGATATGGGATGCTTTCCTAGGTCTTGTCCTTCATGAGGCATGTCACAGTTTTTTAATGTTAATTATGGTTTTCTGAATGAGGACTCAATAGTTTCGGGAGCTACATAAACACCTAGTTTAATTCTACTATGTGTAGGTAGGAGAGACAAATGTGAAAGGGTAGGAGGTGAAGGAAAATCACTGGCTTCTTTATTCTCTAATTAGCACCAACTGTCATTATCTTTTTTCCTTGTCAAACAATGGCAGCATCCTGTATTCATTCTGTAGGAGGAAGACCGATTCATCTTTGTTACAAGCAGGGGATGTGTCCTTCTTTTCCCAAAAGTGACTCAAGCTGCTTCCAGGAAAGCATTATAAAAACCTCTGCTAGCCACTTCTTGGAATATTCCTCTAGTTTGTTCTTTTTCTCTCGATCCATGACTCTACTGATGGGGGCGGGGCACAAGGAGAGAAGAAATGTGAGCTCTAATCTAGTGTAAGGAATCTTGCAATATGAATTTGGTAGAGGGGAACAGATCAAATGTAATGTTCCATCAGCATAATCTTCTGCGGGAGAGAGAAAGGTGGAGTCTTTTTACCAGCACAGCCTGGCTCTTTGTGGCTGGATTGGGTAAAGGCTGCAGCATCTGGAGTGCAATCTACATAATACCTACTTACCAACTTGGGCAAAACTCATATTCTCTAAGCTTTACCTTCCTCATGTGCAAGAAAGAATAACAGTGATACCTACATCTCATAGGCATGTTATGGCACATAAATTAATTAAAAATATGCACAACAAATGTCAAATACATTGCTATTTTACCACTCTATTAGTCTTCCAAGTGACTCCATCAGATTGAATGTTTTCTTTAATCTACATTGTCATCCAATATGTACTTCATCTCAGTCTTACGTAACAACACATTTATTTTTTAAAAGACAAAGTATAATTGTGAAATACCTTAAGTATATTACAAAGAGAGATGAGGATGTTCTTGTTCTAAAAATTAGAACTACAAACCAGTGAATGAGCTACTTTCATGTCATGGCCTATTAAGTACATGACATGGCAAATTAAAGATGCTTCATGCCATAATACGTAAACATAAATATTCTGATTTCCATTGCTTGTTGTACCTACCATATATGCTTGGTCAAGAGCTTGTTTTCTGTAGTCTAGTTCTTCTTCCAAATATCCTTTTATTTTGCAGAATTGTTCCTATAGTAAAGGGCCATATCGATAGAGTCAGCTTAGTTAACCAGAAAGGGATATATCAATTGTATTGATTTATTGTTTTCCCTAATTCCAACAGATGACAAATCACTGGTATTTGTAAAGTCATAAATTTTTGCCTGTTAGGAAAGTAGTTTAACTTTCACAGTCTCAATGGGAATCTGAAAATCAATAGAAAGAAGCTTTATGAAAGACATAACAAAACTCCACACGGGCTGCCTTAAATAATCTTTATGCCAATCTGAAGGGATGTGATTAAGTATAGATTTTGACAAGATAAGTGTTAAATAATAGGTCTGTCTGTGTAGATATAGTCTGCCCTTTGTCTCTGCTGGTTCTGCATCTGGGGACTTAACCACCTATGAACAACAATATTTGCAAAAACAATCACATCTGTACTGAACATGTACAGAAATTTTGTTTTTATTGTTCCCTGTAAAATAAAGTGCAACAACTATTTACAAAGAATTAGGTGTTTAGTACGTCTTTTTTTTTTTTTTTTTTATCTTTTTGAGACAGGGTCTCACTCTGCAGTTTAGGCTGGCCTTAAGCTTACTGTGGTAGATGATGAATGTTAATTTTCTTCCCTACAGTAACCTTCTTATTATCTACATGTATCCCATCACAGTGTTTAGTACGTCTTTTTTTTTTTTTTTTTTTGGTACTGAGAGTCAAACTCAGGACCTTGTGCTTGCCAGGTAGGTACTTAGCCACTGAGCTATACACATCCCCAGCTCCCATCATTAGGTGTTATAAGTAATCTAGAGATGATTTAAAGTACACAAGAAGATGTATGTCAGTGATATGCAAACACCATGCCCTTTTTTACAGTGGACTTGCGCATTTGTGGATTTAGCTATCTGCAGGAAGTCCTGGAACCAATCTTCTGTGGACACCAAGAGATGTCTGTATGTTGTGATAGTACAATTTTGTGAGAATGATTTGACGTCTAACATAGCACCACTGTGCAATAAACACAACTAACTTGTTCAAATTCATCTGTGTAAAATTAGCAAACAAAGACAAATAACAATTTGAAGAGTAGGTGGTTATTCTGACCCCACTGCCGCTTGGAGAGTACTTGTTAGCCCTTACACAAAGCTGGCCTGAGCTGGGAGGCATAAATTTGACGTTTCCTGGCTTTTTTCAGTTTCTGTGTGTTTCTCATCTCGTGAGCCTCTTGTCATCAGCAAGTAAAAACTGTATCTTTATGTAGAACATAGTCCCTTGTGTAAGTCAATTATTTCTTTGGGTGTCACCTGAAGGAATCAGAACCTCTTCTAACCCTAGGGAAATGTCAGTTGTGCTGACTTTTGAGAGAATGTGCAGTAATCTTGCCGTTGATTTTCCTGATTCCTTTGGGTTCCTGATCACCCCTGACTAGAACAATGCCTAGTCCAAGCTGATTGACATACTAACATTTGTGCATTTAAACAGGTTTCAGGGGTAAATCTGAATACAAACTGTTTTTGTTACTTGTTTTGACTGATGTTTTGGTAAAATGTGAATCCTGTACAAAATACAAAGATTTATAAATTGTGTCATGCCATAAAAATACAAGTTTCTGTTCTTATTATAATATTCTTTCACCTGATAGGAATCAAATACATGGTTTTTCTAAACAGTAGTAATAATATTTACAAAGTCTTGTTATAACATGCTACACATTACTGCAAGTTAAGAATAAGTTTTGCACTTGGGGGTCTAATTTTTATTTTTATTTATTTATTTTTTTTTGTTTTTTTCTCCAGTACCGGGAACCGAACTCACGACCTTGCGCTTGTCAGGCAGGCGCTTTGCCGCTGAGCTAAATCCCCAGCCCCGGGGGTCTAATTTTTAAAAGTGTGTTAAAGCATCTACAACATAAAATTTATTACTGTACCAATTATCATGTGTGCAATTCAGCAATGTGAGGCCTCTCATATTGTTATGCAATCACTCTCCAGAAGTTTTTCATCTTGCCAAACTAAAACTTCTTCCATTAAGCAACTCTATTTTTTTTTCTCTTGGCCTTTGATAAGCACAGTCTACTTTCTGTTCATGAGTTTCACTACTCTAGGACCTCACATGAGTGTAATTATATAGCATTTATCTTTTTGTGACCAGTTGATTTCACTTACACAGTGTTATCAGAGTTCATACCTCTTAGCTTGTGTCAGAATTTTCCTTTGTTTTTCCACTTTTTTTGTTTTTTGTGGTTCTGGGGATTGAACCCAAGGTCTTTGCACTGAAGCTATGTTCCCAACCCTCTTTTAGTTTTTATTTTGAAACAGTGTTTTGCTATGTTAATAAGTTGCCTGGGCTAGGCTCAAACTTGTGATCTTCCTGCATCAACCTCAAAGAGTGCTGGGATTACAAGTGGATACCGCCATGTCTAGCTGTCTTTCCTTTTTTTGGCTGGACTATATGAGAAAACATGCTTCATTTTGTTTATTCATTCACTCAGCAATTGTCATTTTGGTTAATGCAACCTTTTGGCTATTGGGAATAATGCCACTATGAGCATGGGTATACAAATACCTCTTCTGGACCCTGTTTTCAAATCTTTTGGATAGATAAGATCTGATCAAAATATATAGGAAATATTTAAATTAAAAATAATTTATTACAGTAAAAGACACATTAATCCTAAACCCCTCAAAACACTCCCCTTGCTGTGAATGCGCTTATCCCATCATTCTCATCACTTTCTGAAGCAGTTCTGGAAAGTCTTTTCTCAGTAACAGCCACCAAAGTGGTTTGGGGACTTTTAAAATCATCCTCTATTTCTTACATCTTCTGTTTCTATTATATGTACCAAGTATATGTACTAGAAGGGTTATCCAGTCTAAGAAAAAAATCCATTTAATTCAATCTTATCCAGCTGAAGTTTTGGAAATAGGACCAAACACACCATACTTATTTGGAAGGCTACCGTTTGAAATTGCTGGATATGTCTCAAATTTTAAATAGTGTATCTAAACACAATTTGAAAACATGTGATGCCTCTCTGTACACAAACTAATAGAAAGATCACAAACTCTTTCGTGCTGGGTAAAGCTAACAGAGGCAACCTTCATTTCCCATTGGCCGTGCGCAGGCTCTTTAATTGTTATGCGTCCTTGTCTTTGTACTCACCATGTCACTTTCCAATTCCATCATTTTCTGGTGCAGGGCGGCCTCTGCTCCTTCAATCTGCTGGATCCACTAGGGGGTTGGAAGACAAAAGAGTGTGATGCATTTGTTTGATGCAGTATACACACTGTGGGCTGTTCACCTAGGTGCCTGGGGTCCTCCCCTTACCCCTCAGGAGGCAGGCTAAAAACTTTTGTGAAAACCTGATGTGCTTTTATCCCTTAGTCCAGACCCAAGGCTATATATAGCCTCCCATGCACCATTCATTCAACAAGCGCATGCCTTGACATCTATCGCATATAGGCCGCTGAGCTAGGCTTTGGGGCTATGATGGTGAACAGGACCAAGGTTTTTGTTCCCACTAGAGGACACACAGGAGGTTTTCTTGGAAATGACAGTTGCATTGAGGTCTGCAGAAAAAGAGATGTTTTGAAAAAAAGGGGAGGAAGTTCCAAGCAGAAGGGACTCCACTACTGTCAATAGCTCCAGGTTGGAGGGAACAAAGGGAACAAAAGTAATTTTTCAGCTTATAAAACTGATTATAGCAAAAGAGTAATTAAGACTTCCACACACTTACTTATGATGCCTCATTGGCTCCCTGAGGTATAAGCTGACATTTAACATGACAGAGATCCAATATAATAACTTGTTCTATTAAGCCATATATGCGGTAGGAACATCCTGTATTATTCAAAGTCTAAACAATTCCTGTGGTTTATGGGTGCTGACATGAGTATTGTACAGCACAATATTTTTTTTTTTTTTTTTTTTTTTTTTTGTTTTTTCTCCGGTACCAGGAACTGAACTCACGACCTTGCGCTTGCCAGGCAGGCGCTTTTGCCGCTGAGCTAAATCCCCAGCCCCTGTACAGCACAATATTGTATTCTGAGTATTGAAGAAGTTGAGAATGCCTGGTGCATTGTGTTTGCTTTACTGGAATAGTGTTTTGTGAACACTCACAAATTCACTCACTTCTTCAACACACACTTGCCAGTCACCTATTTTATGTGCTCTTCTGACTGAAAGTTAGGAGAAAAGAAGGGAGAGAAAATAGATGCCACATTCACCCTCATGGGGCTTAGTGTCTAGTGGGAAGTAGAGAGGAGGTGCAACAAGAGCAGTGTCCCTTTGCAATACAATTGGTAAAATTCAGGGAGCAGATACACAGGTCACTGTGGGAACATACAGCTAGAAACCTAATTGGGCTTGGGTGAGCAGGAAGGCTTCTCCATGTATAGGGAAGTCTAATAATTAAGACCTAGCCAGGCCAAGGCAGAAAGAGAAAACAGGGACATTAGCTAGGTAAACAGAACAGGGTAAATGATCAGTGGATGAAGACAGAGAGAGGTGGAGAGGATAGAGGATAGAGATGATAAGAGACAGAGATGGAGAGGTAGAGGTAGAGGTAGAGACACGGACAGAGACAGAGACAGAGGGTACAAGGAGAGAGAACGACAGAGAGAAGAGGGAGGCAACGCTGGAGAACTAGGTAAGGACCAAATCCCAGGGGGCCCTCTTGTCAGGTTCTGGATTCTGGACCTTCTATTGGGACAGCATGGTGCTATGCGTCTTCTGGGAGAGGAAAGGTCATCAAGGCTGTAATGAAATGGTGAGGGAAGAGGGCTTTTGAAGAGCATATCCCAGCTTTCATACCATTTCATGCATAAATACTTTAATATGCATTTGTAACAAAAAAGCCCTTTCTTAAAAAATACAGACGTGGGGCCATGGTAATGTGATGCTCTGCAGAACTAACACTAATTTCCTTTGTCATCTGGTATCTGGTTGCCAATGGACAGCAAAATTTGTTTAAAACACACTTGCTTTACTAAAATCAGGATATAAAAGATCATTTCAAGATTTTAAAGTATTATTTTATTTTATAATAACACTTTTTGTCCTCCTTTTTCCCTTATGTCCTTATTTTGAGTAAAATAACTGTGATTTGACTTGTAGAATTCCCTCGTTTCAGACTGGAGAAGGTTGGTTACTTGATCATTATTTCATTTAATTGGCAACAAGGCTTTTAGGTGTTTTATAAGAAGTACCGTTCCCACCGTATCCAAATATGCCCACATGACTCTCAGCTCTGCTCATCACCCTATGGTGTTCCTCTTCTCTCTGCTCCACCATTTCCCAGGTTTAGACACAAGGGGGCAGACCACACTAGTGTTGCTTTTCCTCCTCACAGTTTCTGTGCCAGGCTTTCAGAATGAGACTACAGACACCCAACACCAAGTTACAAAATCAGTGGGGAACAATAGGTGTGTACACATACAAGGAAAGTCTGTGGAGGGTGATGCTACAGTGTATCAGTTTACCCAGCATGGAGGCGTTGATGAAATAATGTACTCCAGAAGGTTTCTCACTCCCTAAGAAGGATACACTTTTGTAAGGGCAGTAAAAATTATCCATTACAAATCAGTGAGTAAAATTTTCTTTGGGATATCCTCATTCTGCCTGGATTGTATCACATTTATCACACATTCTATAATGAAGAATTGTGTGCAAAAGAGATGCTCTTCATACCCTATGTTGTTCTGTAAATGTTAGGCCAGACATGGAGAAGATTTGGAAAGCTAGAATGACTCATTACCTTCTCTGCTAGGGACAGCACAGTGCTGGCCTGAATTATGGCCACTTGTTCTTCATTTCTTAAATTCTGTGAAAAATAAATAAGAAAGGTATTGAGATGAACATAGGTATGATATTTATGCTATTGAAAACAATCACTGCCACCAAGAACTACTATGTATGCATGCGTGGAACCTTAACAAATTCCTATGGTTTAGGAAAACTCCCTAATACAGAGTGAATTCAAACACCCAAAAGAGGCATATTAAATGTTCTTTTTAATCTCTCCCTAATACCGGTTTGATTTTTGTTACTGTAAGCATAGTTTTTAGACAATTATAGTATTTTAAAAATTAAATAAAGAACAGTCTCTTCATAGCAGTTTTGATGTGATTTCATTGATATTCTTCCCTCCTTTGATAAATTTTCAAGGAGAAAAAATAGTGACTTCTTTAACTTACATGTGCTCCTCATCTTGTATCACTATGAATGACCCTCGCATTGAATTAATATGCCTTGACCCTGTCTAGAAGGAGCTTTTAGAAAGAAAAAGGATAATAGCTTTCTGGCCCATTTTTATAAAGCTGAAACAACCCTAGCATTTAGCAGCATTTGCAGTTGCCTGATTGATTAATTTTATATTCAATGCCTCTAGGCAACAGTCAGCTGGAAATTAGTTTTAATCACTGCAGATGTGGTCGGTATTCAAACTGGAGACTTACTCATGAGAAGCACTTCACCAAGTCCCATTTCTGTTACTGCCCTTTAGAGATCTCTGGCCAGGTTGTTTCACAAAGCATAGATTCTCTCCAGGCAGCTATGTCTTTAAGTGAACATAGCATCTCAGTTGCTATTATTTTATATATGATATGCTAGGAAGTATTTTTTATCCTTATTAGGCAAATTTATATCTTTACCATCCCCATATTTTATCATACTTACCCCGTTATCACCCAAGATATCTAGCTGCTTTATGAGATCAGGGATGTTCACATCCTGCAAAATCAAGGAAGAGCATTCAAACCAAAGACACACACATAGCCTCATATTTCACCAGTGCCAGAATGCTGGGTTAAAGGAGCGGTTTCAGGGACTGTATTTTTGTGGGTTCCTTTTCATTGAGGACAAATGGCTTTCAGTTTTTTCTTACAAATTGTGTGATCTTTGGAAAGCTTTCCTAATTTTCTCAGATACAAATGGAGGTAATAACACCTATTTCATAGGCTGATGTGGAGGATAAAGAGACTGCATGAATGTGTATAGCATGCAGGAAGGACTGAGAAAACGGAGGTTAACTTTTTACCTTCTAATTGCTATTTTTTTACCAGTTATAAAAGATTTTAGGCATAAAGAAAAGTAATATAAAGTCACAGTCAATGTCTTTTTAATTAGAGGAATACTAGTCTGGTTGAATTTCATCTGTCATGTAGAAAAATAGTAGATATCCATTGTTTCAGATAGCATGAATTTCTTCCTATGGGAAACAGCTTGTTTTTATTCTAGTCCTGGACTGTTTAAAGGAGTGTCACATCATTAAAAACAGTTCTCTTGGGGGCTGGGGATTTAGCTCAGTGGCAAAGCGCCTGCCTGGCAAGTGCAAGGTCGTGAGTTCAATTCCCGGTACCAGAAGAAAAACTACAAAAACAAAAACAAAACAAAAACAAAAACAAAAACAAAACCAGTTCTCTTGAATATAAGTTATATCCACTGGATTAGGTTGTTTGATGTGTTTAAGAATTAAAAATCTAAGGAAAAGGCAAATACCATTGCTTTTTATTTAATCAATATTGAATAAAAATTGCTTTGATTTATAAATTTTCACATAGCCACAGAATTTTAGACACCATAAAACTTGTTTTGGATGAGAGAAGAAAGTACATTTTTACTATTTAATTTCTTGTCCACTTTTTAAACTTCATTAGTGCCACTTCCTCCTGATACTAAGGTGCAAACAGCAGTATTAGCAGAGCCTTCCACCAAGAAAGAGAAAATCTAGGTCTATTTCATAGCTAGGGAGCAGCCACGGGAGCAGGTGTATCCGGCAGCTCAGAGTGGGACTAGGAATGGCCATGCAGAAGGTAAAGGAGAGACCAGGAATAGCAGAGGCATCTCATCTGGGAGAAAGATTCACAACAGGATTGCATTCCATTGGAGGGTAATGAATTTTCTGGGAAACAGCCACTTCAATCCAATCTCAGTATTTAAAAAATATTCCAGTAGCACTAGAGATAGAATGAAGTATTACCTAACAATCAACAAGTTAAGCCCTAAGCCCTCTCAAAAGGGCAAAAAAAAAAACAAACAAAAAAACCAAAAAAAAAAACCATATCAAAAGTGATAATGAAATAGATGAGTTTGAAGGTCTTTTCTAACTCTGAAATATGATGATAACAAATTCCACAGTTCAGTTCCAAAGTTAAAACAGAAAATCAGCATGTTTTTAATCTGGCAACCTGAAATGTGCCTCTGCCTTTATTTCATATTTCCCCTAGATAATTAAGGCTAATTATATTAATATGTATATTGATCCTTACCTTTTTTGTGGTGCTGGATTCAACTCAAGGCCTATCCATGAGCTGTATCCCCAGCTTTTTTATTTTTATGCTTTTGCTAAGTTGTTCAGTTGCCCGGTCTAAGCTCAAACTTTGATCCTCCTACCTCTCTCTTCCAGAGTACTGGGAGTACAGTGTGTGCGACCTGGATGTAATGCTTTTCATTACTGTGTTCTAAATGATTATGGCTTCTGAATTCTTTGCTATTACCATTCATTTATTTTATATCTACAGATTTTCCAACCAATGGGACTATTTTCATTTCCTATATCATTTGTATCAAATGACATCCAGTGGCTGAAAGACAAAAAGTTATGGGCATATTTCCCCTTTGATGACCCCATTTTTCTAATTTCTACAAACATAAAAGATCCAATGTCTGCCTACCTTGACACCTTCTTTCATACAGTAGATCTGTAGAGCACTCACACCATCTGAGAATGGGTGAATTTGTAGATTAAATGGAGGGGACCGCCTCTCTCTCTCCTTGAAATACAGTGAAGAATATATGAGAATTAAAAAAAAAAACCATTAAATGCTAAACTAGTTCTCTTTTTATGCTATTTCTGAAGTTTATCAATATGTCTTTAAACACAAGGTGTTCATGCTTAAATTTAATGGGAAAAAAACCTGACTAGTTAACTACAAAGTATGGAAGAAAAATTATAGTGTCATCTATTCTTGCAGATTTTTTGATCAGGGCAATACAGGAAGTGCTGTTCCAATTTAAACTACATGAATATTTAGAACTTTCAGATATCACGGAGTAGCTCTGCCCTGAGGTTTTATGGTAGCAAACAGCCTTTTGCATACTTAATCCACTCAATCTTTATGAGCAAGATATGTAGGCTGCAGAAAATGAGTTACTCTTCTTCACAGAAATATAGCAGCTGCTAACTTTTTATCCAAATCAAATTTGAAATAATCTCCAGCAGAAACCACTGGCAAAATGACAGAAAGATTGAATGGAAATTTTTCTTCTACTTTTGTGTATTAGTGTACATTCAGCCAGATCCATAGTCATATTCTACATGATAAAATTGAAATCTGATTTTATTTATATGTTTTATTTAATAAGCAAAACCCCAAAACAAATGCTTAAGATTTGGTCCAATTAATCAATTATTTCCTAAGATAAGCTACATTACTTCTTAGCCTTCTTTTGCATAATTGCATTATGGGCTACATGGTTTACTTACAAATTCAAATTTAACTGTAAAATAGTTTCATTTAGCACATTTTGAAATGTAATCCTTGAAATAAAATTTCAGTGAATCAAAATTCAATGAAAGATGGACATTATTTACAATCAATGAAATAATGATAAAGTTTGAATCTATTAGTTATTTAAAGATGATTCATCAGACTCCTGTATAAGGACACTGCCTGTAAGGAACATGGTCTGAACAGACACTTCTGAAGTCCTCAGTGTCTCACCACTCACTAATCAAGAGACTTGGGTGACTATTTGCTCTCCCTCAGCTGCCTCAGCAAAAAAAATCTTGACAGACTTCACAAAACAATAGGAATCTGAAATGCCTACTTTAGCCCCTGGCTCCTAATGAGCTCGGTGCATGTTTTGAATGTTTACTTTTACTCTGGTCATTATTTCCTTACTTCTAGCTCTAGGTTTCGAAACTCCAGCAGCTCATTCTGGTCTCTGGCATCCTGCAGTTCCTGTTGGAGCCGGTGATTTTCTGCCTCCTGTTTTTCTATCTAATAAAGTAAATCCTAAAGTTAGATGAGCATTGCACAAAGCAAGTACAATTTTCAAAGCAAGCATGGACCGATGTTCATCTACCCAGTGAATGAACCATGACAGAATTCCCAAATAGATGTGAATAAAACGAGTCTCTGGCTTTTCTTCTGGTTACAGTTCAGCTGAATGTTTTGAGTCAGTGAGAAAAATGCAGGCTATCTGGCTGTTTCTACATAAAGTCTAGGTCTCTGGTGAATAGTGAATGTGAGATATTCACATACCTGTGTGGTGGGTCAGACACAGTATACTAGAACCTGACTGAAAGATATATGTGAAAGGGACCGACATGCCTCATTTCTGGAGTTACCGTCTGTCAGATAAATATTTCCTTATTATTAATTGACAGTTTATAATTGTATAGGTTTATAGGGTACAAAATGATGTTATAATTTGTAAATGTGTGATATGATTACATTTTATCAATTAATGTGTCATCACCTCCAATACTCGACTTTTTGTGGTGATAACTTCTGACATTTACTGTCTTAGAAATTTTTAAGTGCACAATAATTTTTTAAAAACAGCTGTTACATAAAATTTTGTGGAATTCCAATTATCTATAGCATAAAGCCAAACTCCTTAATACGGAAATGAAAAACCTTAATTATTTAGTTACCACCTAGCTTTCCAATTTCAAGTGTTACAGTGGCTTCCTCTACACACTCACTTGTGATTATACCCAGTAGGATTTAGCAACCCCATCTATCTTACAAACTGATTGTTCAAGGAGCCGTCTCTCACCATCTCGCTGAAAGGGCTCCCCACTTCCCTTTCTACACAGGAAATCCTACACTTCTTTGAGTGCTAGGGTCTAACGTCTATCAGAGCTTTTCCTGGTCCACCCATTCTCAACTGACAGCTATTCCTTCTATTTCCCTGGGGACTGGTCATATAGGACCTTTGGTACAATCCCACAAAGCAGAAATGAGTTAGCTGTGTCTAAATGTGCTTCCCTCTGTGGACAAAGTCTATTTCCGAGTCATCTTTGGATTTAGGGGATCATACAGTCTTCACCAACTGCAATAGGTTTTCAGTAGATATGTGGATGGGTGTTCTGTGCAATGACTATTTAATATTTGAATTCAGAAACACAAATGGAGACACTTTTTTTAAATTGATAGGATGGATTTTATTTCCACAACCAAAAAATTTAGGTAAAATATTTAGCTTCAGTGTCACTTTTGCTTTCTGTTTACTCATAAGAGACTAAAGCTCAAAAATTTCCCTTTTGTACAAAAAAAAGTCAGATAGAAGACCTCCTGGGAATCATTTCTTATGAAAGAGAAATATAATAACTTTTGTTACCAGACATCTAAGGTTGATAAGAAAACAGGATATACAGTAAAAAGTTATATGACATTAATTAATGTAACTGACTCAATATTTTTTACTCTAGTTACTTGTGGAATGAACTTTCCTAAGATTGTAGAAGCTGATGAAAATTGTAAAAGAAAATCTACTTTCTAGAATCTTGTATTAGATTGATGAGTGGGTACTTGAGGAGATTGCTGCTTCTAGGGGTTTTAATTCACAGACCGGGACCAAGGCCAACAATTTTCTTTATAAGGAACTGTAATCATCTTCGGAGCACCAGTCCTCAACTTTGGACACTTAGCCACCTCTGCACCTCAGCTTTGTCTCACGCACTGTAAGGAGTAAGACAGGAAGTCAACCTTGCCAGGCTAGAGGGGAGAGGGAACATGCAAAGCCGTCCCTACCTCTTCTAGCTGCCCAGGCCAGTGTGGCTGATTTTCGTTACTTGTCAAGCATAGAAAATATTGGCAGAAACAACCCCAAAATAATTTGGACTAACCTACAGAATCATTTCCATTACTGAACTGGGCTTTCAAATTCTCTGTCAAGGAAATTATAAGATGATTTTGTTCGCTTCTGCTGGATTTGTAGAAGTTACACACTGATGAAAAAGCCAACTGAACCTAAAATGTTCTCTTATATTTATGCACCACCAAACGTCTATGTTTAGACAGCCAAAATTGATTGTATCTATTGGGCCTAAATTATGCTTTTCTATCTTGATTTGTTGATTAATTTTCTAGACCTTCTATTTTGCAGTTTGGATCCATTGAAAAGAAAATTTCTTCTTCTTTTTTTTTTTTTTTTTTTTTTCCTCGGGTACCGGGAACCGAACTCACGACCTTGCGCTTGCCAGGCAGGCACTTTGCCACTGAGCTAAATCCCCAGCCCCAGAAAATTTCTTTAAAAAGTAATAAAAACAGCTCAGCTTAGAAAAACGACTACAGTGTGAATAGTCTGCTAAATTGAACATCATCTTAGAGTCATATTCTTTCACTTCTTGCACAAAATAATATTTGTACTTTTTTTTGTAGGTGAACAACCACACAGGATGTGTGCATGTGCATGTGGGTGAATATATATATGTGTACAGTACATATATATATATGGTTAACAAATCAGTGGGTCTCAAGGATCACATCCTTTCAAGTCTACACAAGGCACAACGCGGAGCCATGCACACATGCCACTTAACCGATGGTGATGGTGGTGACAGGGATGCGGTTGAGCACTCAGCAAAGGACAGAGCAGCATGGGAAAAGCCTCCCCTTCCCTGGCCCCTGTGCCACTCCTGAGAGCATCCCCTGCTGCTCCTGGATTGCTCAGCGTTTTCTCCTCTGCCCCACTAGGGTGTTGTGCCCAACATACCTTTTCTAAAAGCTCCTGGTTTCTCTTAATGAAAAGCTGCTTATCTTCTACCCAGTGTGAATCCTGTTTGACAAAGAATATTGTGCAGTCAGCATTTCAGAGTGGCATGAAAGAGCATGTGTCCTCAAACCGTTTGGCCAGAGCTCTCTTCTTTCCAGCGATTTGTTTGCCTGCCAAGGACTGATAAATGACACCCACCCATGCCAGCAATTTCTTTGAAACTGTTGGGGCTGAAGGTGCCAGCAAGATTTCACCCGTTTCCATTGTCACTTGCTACCTTTTGAGTCTGAATAATCCAGGACCAGCCTTCTGGGGACTCAGAAGTGACCACACAGGCAAAAAGTGAAAAGGGTCAGAATGCACACAGGCTGGATACATATGAATGGAAAACATTAAAATGCAGAACCATAAATGTAGCATAGAGGCAAAGAGTGCAGCTGGGGTGGGGGGTGTGGTCCTT